GTATTTTTTTTTTAGCTTTTATTTCTTAATCTTTTTTTTCTTTTGTTTATATAATAATAAATAATTTTTGTTTATGCAATTCTAAGTAGAATTTGCTGACATAACATAATTCATTTAATTTTAAAACTTAGTTTTTTCAAAGTAGCTTATTTAATTAGTTTAGTAACTTGTTTAACAGTTTCTAGAAAGATAAATCTTTTTTTGTCTTGTTTTATCATTTTCACAATGATGATTATAATGATGATGATGAATATGATGATGATGAATATGATGATGATGATGATGATGATGATGATGATGATGATGATGATGATGATGATGATGATGATGATGATGATGATGATGATGATGATGATACTTAAATAAAAAATTAATAAAAGACATGTTAATACTTTAAATCAGGGTTGCAAAAAAATTATTTTTTTTTGAAAAAAAACAAAAACCATAGGTTTTTTTAAAAAAAAAAAAAAAAGCCATGGTTTCTTTGGTTTAAATTAAATTGTTACTAAAAAAATGCGGTATTTAGTTATCATTTTAAATTAGAAAAAGCATAACATATTTTATTTGAGTGAACTATATTCTATACCAATATTATTACCAATATTATTACCAAATATCTTTACCAATATTATATTTCATCAAAATTATTCTATATATCATTGTTTAATGTTCTATATATAAATACAAGCTTTACTGCTTTTTCTACCCCCAATTGGTTTCTTAACGCTCAACTTGTTTCTCCGCGCAGCGGCCTTGTTTGTCAAGGTTCGTGTTTCGGAGTTATAGAGTTGAGAGAGGGTTATAACCACTATTAAGTAGTCTCCTCGTCTGTAGTGGCCTTCTCGGCCTTGAGGAGGTGAATAAAAATAAAAAAAAATAAAAAAACTTCGAATGAACAAGACCAAAAGTTGAAAAAATTCTTTTGATTCCAGCACTAGAAGCTGGTGCATTTAATAAACCTTCAATATCCATTATGTTATAATCCACAATTTTTAGAGATTTCCACCATTCTATTGGTGATACATTTTTTAAAACAGATTCACTATACAAATAGCTTTTATCGAATGGAGTAGATTTTGCTTTTAATTTAAATATTATTGGTAACAAATTCTTGAACTCTTTATCTGCAAAATTCATGGCAGCTTCATTTTCATTTTCAGAAAGATTAGATTCAAAATATCTAGGATCTAGTGTGTTTTCTAGGAAATGAGCATCACTGACAGTCTAAAGGCTAGATTCAATTTTTTTTTTTTTTTTTTTCATTTGATAAAAATAATAAACTGTTCATCAAATCTTTAAAAATTTCAAGTGTCACTTATTTTTGTTTGATCTCTTTGCAACTTATCTTGAGCTACTGCAATTGGTTTTAATATTTTCAATAAATCTTCTGTGTTTCGCTTTATCTGTATATCACTTACTTTTTTACCAATCATGGGATCCAAGTCTTTATTTTTTTCAAACATTGTGAAAATGATGCTCCAGTTGTTGACATATTTTTCAAGTGAATCACATACAGAATTCCAGCGAGTTTCAGTAGGAAATGGCAATTGTGTTCCTCCGCTTAATTTATTTATTTAATTTATTGCTCCAGCTTGATGATTATTTCTTATATATTTTATTTGTGTAACATGCTTGCTCACATTTTCAATGTTAAGATCATTTGCTAAAAGATTCAGCATATGAGCTGCACACCCATAAGTTATTATAATATCTCTTTCAGATGACAATACTTGTCTCATTGATTTCATATTAGCTGCATTGTCAGTCACAAAGCTTTTTACTGTGCATCCAAATTTACGTCTTACAGAATCTATAGCTTCTCTTGCTAATTGTGTAAGATATTCACCAGTATGTGAAGGACCAGAAGTGTTGATTGTTTCTACTAAAATGTTAATTTTGTCTTTAACTACAGAGATACAAACTATAGGTTCATTATGTACATTACTCCAGCCATCTAAAGACATGGCTACAATTTTCCCATTCAATACATTACATTTTTCAATTTCTTTTGTGTAAACCCTATCTAATATTTCTCCTCCAATTTGAGTTCTATTTGGTAGAGTGTATCCTGGATGAAGCATATTGATAAATTTTTTAAATTCTTTGTGTTCAACTGTTCTGAAGCTAGAGTTTGTACTGTATATAAATCTACCAAGTTGCAGATCAAATAAATCTTTTTCTTTGAGGCTTGTTCGTGTGAAAAACTTATCAATTTTCAAATATTTATCAGCTGATGTTGAATTGGGCTGAGACCTTTTCATTTGTTGTTGTGATGTTGATGGTGAATTACCTTTAAAATGAAATTGCAGTTTATTGAATTATTCTAAGTTAATGTCTATACATGGTAGTAATTTAAATATATATACATTTACAGTTTAGGCAAAGTATAAAATTTTAAATGACAATGTAGTAAATTAATTACCTTCAAGAAGTTGTTGATCTTCAATTGACTCCATAATTTCATGGGGTTGTGATTACTTGTACTTTTTTATATGTTCATGCATCCTTTGAATTTGACGTTCCATTTCTTTTCCACATGCATTACAAACTGCTCTACACCCCTTTCTTTCTGGAACAGTCACTCGTGTATATTTTAACCAAATCATATCACATTTGCGCCCAGTTTTTTGAGACATTTTTGTTGTACCAATAAATTATGTTAGAACTACTTATACTTTTGTATGTTTTATATATATATATATATATATATATATATATATATATATATATATATATATATATATATATATATATATATATATATATATATATATATATAAATATATAAATATATATATAAAAATATATATATATATATATATATAAATATATATATATATATATATATATATATATATATATATATATATATATATATATATATATATATATATATATATATATATATATATATATATATATATATATATATATATATATATATATATATATATATATATATATATATATATATATATAGGGGAAAGCGGGGCAACATGGCGAACGTTTTGAAAGCCCTGAGTTATTGAAAAACTATAAGTCGGTGAAGCCATAATACTTTCTCAGTATGTTTATGCTATTAAGTTCTTTCATTGCCTGCATGAATTTTCAGTTTGCAAATATAACAATTTGAAATAAATATTAAAATAAAAAGTTCATAAATTTGTCATCTGGTCACGTGACCGGGGCAAGATGACTTATTATGCAATTTTTACCTCCAATTTTATAAAATTTCAAAAACTGCCATTAACTCTAATTAAAGTAACAAAAAATAAACACAAATTGCAAAAACTACTTCTAAAGAAGTTAAACTTGAAGGACACCAACCATTATGAGAAACTGAAAGTGAGGAATTTTTTTTTAAGCGCAAAAAGTTAACTTGTTTGTATAAAATGGCGTTAATAATATTTCAATAAACCAATTGGTGTTTTAAAATACAAGATGTAAATACAGTTTCGTTTTCACCCAATTTTAAAAATTTTTTTTGTTGCCATTCTCTATGTTGCCATGCTTTTATTATTAATTGTTGCCCTGCTTTAATTAGTGTTATTACTAATTTATTACTGCTCTGTTCTGTAAGAACACTGATGTCTATATTCTATGAAAAAAATAATTCAAAATTCATGGATTTTAAAAAAATATATCTATACTGAAGATTAGTTATATTTGTGAACATAACCCTGTTTTAGTTTCCTGTTGTAAGTTCAAATCTTTTCAAAAAACATTAGTTTGGTTTAAACCAACATTTTTTTAATTGGTTTAAACCATGGTTTAAACCATTTGGTTAAAACCATGCAACCCTGCTTTAAATGTAAAAAAAAAAGTTAAAAATAGAAAGTTGAAAATTATTTAAAAATTTTAAAAATAAATTGTTAAATAAAATTCCTGTAAGATTTAATAAAAGATTAGATTTAATAGAAGATTTAATAGATTTAGTAGAAGATTCAGTAAATTAAAAGTTAAATGTAGTATTATAAATCAAGTTTGTTGTTATTTTAATTTACTTACAAGGTTTAGTTCAAAAAAATTTAGGCAAGGTATAGGAAATTCATTAATTACTTACAATAAACATTTTAAAAAATAATATAGTTGCTAAAAGTACTTAAAAAAACGTCTTAAATTAACAAAATAAGTAATAATTAAATCAATAATTATTTTTAATCTGGTATAAAATAGACATTTCAGTTTACAATAATTTGCATAGAGCTAAAATTTGGTACAGACCTTGAAGAAATTAAATATTCCAAGTCCCCACTAATCCTGCAAAAAAAGTTATTCAAGAAAATTGTTTAAAAAAATGGTTTTTCATATTTTTCCAGTAAATGGTTTCAAAAAATAAAAAAATAGATCAAGCTAAAGTCATGAAATTATCTCAAAAATTGTCTTTATACTTTTTTTTCTAAGAATCGCTATTCCTAAAATATTGCAAATTGTAAAAATGAAGATGTCTTATTCAATATAAACTGTATATTATGTTTTATATATTATATATTAGTATTATTACTATCGTTATTATTATTATTATTATTATCATTATATATATATATATATATATATATATATATATATATATATATATATATATATATATATATATATATATATGTATATATATATATATATATATATATATATATATATATATATATATATATATATATATATATATACCTTTTTAACATATATATATATATATATATATATATATATATATATATATATATATATATATATATATATATATATATATATATATATATATATATATATATATTAGTATTCTATATCTTCTTTGTTTGTTTTTTCTTATTTTTCTTATTTTTCCTCTACTACTTTTTTTTTTTTAACTGGAAAATGTGAAAAAAGATACAGCAGCTGTCTCATTATTAATATTATCAAAACCTTTATTTGTTGAAACTGATTCAACATTGGAGCAAGACTGGCCTTAACAATTAGTACATACTGGTAAACATGATAACCTGTATTATATTTACATTATG